GAATGCTCATTTTATGCATTCAGTAAACAAATTCGCGGAGTACCATTACCGCATGTTTTTGCCATGGAAAAAAGCATTCCATCGATGTCGCTTGGCGGTATTCTAATGGAAGATCTATCAGAAAAAACTACCTCGTTGAAGCTGTATGATACACTCACATTACAGCAGGTTGGTTTTTTGTCGTATTTAAACTAATAACCAATTATATATAAAAAAGAATACCATAGGCAACTTAGCGGGGCTTTCAACAGAAACAAATAATTGTGGCTTTTTTAAGTTTTATTTACAAAATCCATAATTTCAACTCCTAAAATCTGCTTCCAATAAATTCTGACAACTACCGCTTGAAATTAATAATCCAAAAGCCATCTTCAAGTAAAATGAAAAGCAAATTGATCAAAATTAGGCTGTTGAATTTTATTCTTTTTTCTGCTTTTTTTTATAATAATCAATCCGCATGCCTCAGATTTTCCATCCGTCTAATTTCGCTCATCACTGAATATATTATATCTGAGGAGTTGACTTATTTTAAACTTTTAATTCTAGTTGCAAAAGCTTTTTTCATCAGCCGGTCAGTTTCAAAGAAATGAGTAAATTCTGACCCTGAACAAAATCCTTGCAGATTCTGAATCTCACAACTAATTTGGCTCACCTGCATTCCTTCTCAATGTTCCTTCCCAAAGAGAGCCTCAAAAATTTAAATCTCCGTGGGCGTTTCTTCGATGACTGTGCCGACTTAAACCCAAAGTTTGCCGAAAAAACGCTTGCAATTTTCCCGCAACTACGGCATTATTATGAGCCTTTCTATAATCTGATCCGAAGCAGGCAATTTGCCGAATATTCTGTGACTGGCATAGCGGCAGAACTTGGTACTTTCTTACACGGATCCTGATTACTTTTGACCAAAATAATGGAAAAGAAAATAAAAACACCTCCTTCAGCTTCCTTTCTGCTATCAGAAATGCTTACAAACGAAAAATTTAGATATGCCAGAAGTAATTGTTCATGGTGATCTGTTTTCCAACAACATTTTGTGGAAAAAAAATCCGGATCAGACATGTTCTGAAGAAGTTGGAGCAATCATTGACTGGCAGCTGATCCATGCTGGTAAGAAATTTTTTGATTTCCTATAGTTTTCAATAAAACAAGAGGAATGGCTACGAAGTCTCCAGT